CAACATTGTAGAACAATCCCTTGCTTCCAATTAAAAACTGAATTGAGCCAGAAGCTTTTGGTTATTGATATCATCTTTCCGATGTTAGTTTCTTTTGTGTGTTTATGTGTGTGTGCTGGGGGGGGGGGGAATAAGCTAGCGTGAGTTATGGGAATAGTAGGGAGGTTGATTATAATTTAGGTTTTGATATTATGTGATTGCTGCATGATCTTACCATGGAGATTTTAGTGTTGGGGTGTTGCTGTTGTTTTAGTATTCTTGCACATATTTTATTAAATATGTTATATTTTATTTTAATTTTTATTGTATGCTGCCATTGGTCTTATGAAATTGGCAGCATAAAATCTAAGTAAATTTGGGACTTTATTATCATTTGAACTATTTTTGTTCAGTAATAAAAAAAAATCCCCCCTTATTTGAAGTGCAGTGTATAAACACATCACATTTGGGCTCCTCATTCCTGCTTTTGCCTTGTGACAAGAACATATGAGCATTCTCACAGAAGTATGAATGAAACATTGGCAGGGATAAGTTAATTTTAAAAATTCAGAAAAAGAATTACTACTGTTTTCTGCTGTTTTATGGCTTTTTATGAGAACCTAGTTGGTCACCATGGAAATCAAGGTCCTGGACTGGTTTTACCCAATCTAGCAAGATCCTTATGTTCTTACAGTAAGTTTATTATTGATTTCCTTGATGAAAAGACTGCTGTCGGGAACATTAGCTTAGCTAGTGGCAACAGCTGGCAACTAATAACAGGTTATTCAGAATTCTCTAATTATCCTGAGTTTGTGTGAACTGCTTTAGAACCATTGGGAACTCATTTTGTATGAGTCTAGATAGTTGAACAAATGAATGCAATCATATTTCAATATTATAATAAGCTGTAAATTTACAGCTGGAAAGGATCAAATGAGTCATTGAGTACAGCCTGTTGACCTGAGGATATTTTCCTCATTGCTCTGGGACTCTTTATCAGAGAAAAGCAAGATTTTAAAAGTGTAAATAATTCATTTAGCAAGAGAGATTTCTAGCATGAGTCTATGGGGCAAGTTTAGTGCTTCGTGCTAATCAGTAACCATTTGATGTAATCACCTTTCTAAAACAAGGCATCATATTTACTCAATGCATCTGTTTCCCCCCCCTAATCTTTCTGTATACACTCTCTAACTTAAACTGTATTACTTACCCAGTATAGGTAATGTTACTGCAAGAGTGATTGACTTGAAAGAGCATTCTTCAAGATTAATTTGATGCTTTCTTTGACACAGTCATATAAATAATAGCATTATATCCATTCTAATGGAAACCTACCTTTTCTTTTGTTACATAAAACATTGAGATAATGCCTTCTGGATCTGATGCAAGACCATTTTGTATAACGTGAATATACTGGAAACTTCTCCAGTTATTAAGACTCCAACACAAGCCATTTTAAAAGAAAGAAAGTGACTTTGGATATATATATCTATATATCCATATATATATATAAACATCAATTGGAAAACCTTTTTAATTAATCCATATCTTGAATTGATGATAAATAGAATGTTTTTTTAATTTAGATCAATCTTTCAATACATAGCCAATTTACAAATATAATTACTGGATGAAAATATGATAAATACTTTGTACAGCAGAAGAGACTGGGAAGATATCAACTCAATCTGTTTTTGCCCCTTCTTCCTAGTGTGCCAAATATAAATTTAGAACATTGTTTTGCTTTCTCAACCTCAAGTGTATTTGTCTTATATAACATAAAGAGCTGCATTGCCAGTTTCTTTGACCATCCGGCAAATAATAGCATATGACTATAGGGCAATTTTCTCCAACCTGATGATTTGTACTGTATATTAACCATGCTGTTTGTTAATTATGGAAGTTGTGGTCTGAACGATATAAAGGACAACTGGTAGGGTAAAGTTGTCCTATACCCAATTATGTCATAGGCATCCACAATAGCTAGGTTTCATCAAAATGACAGCACAAGAATTCTTACATCATGACACATGTTCCACATTATATGCTTGCAGTGACATATTCCAAGTATGTAAGAGGCACAGCATCAGCCATTGCATACATTACATCATTTGCTTCCTTCCCCTGTCTGCACTAACACTAGAGAGGGATGTACCAATCTTTGAAACATCCAAGCCATGCTATGAGAGAATAACAGAGCCAAGTTTATCCACTTGACTATAGGACTAGGTTTCCATCTTAAATCTAGCAGGATTTAGAAGCTCATTATGATGTAAAATTAAAACATATTTTTCTCCAAATAATATGTTTTTTTACATATTTGAAATTACATGAGGAGGTCATGACATTGGATATTCCTCAAAAAAATAAATATTTGTAGATAATGCCAATGATGGCTTATCCAAAATTAAATCCTAATCCCTTAGTTCCTTAAATACTCTCTTGTTACACATTTCACAACAATTTGGGTCTCAGTTTAATGACTAGGACATAAGTAGCCAATACAGATGCGTCTGTATGTATATTCATGGTGTAAATACATAGTTATTTGCATTTTACAGATGACAATCTCTAGCACTGTCCAACATACGTTATCGTCTTAAAATATCTCATCTTGAAGATATGGAGATTGCAGGACAATTCCATAAGCTTGCCTCAAGTTAAGTTGAACCCCTCCACAAAATCCTATTGGTTTGGCCCTCCTTGCTAAGGATTTGGGCATTTGCAATAAGATTGAATAATATGTGACCCAATAGCTCGATGACATTAATAAAGCCAAATGACTATGAGATATTTAGGGCAATAGATGCACAGTGTTTAGGTGCAGATCTGCAAAGATAGAGTCTTCTTCATGCAACTTATATCTCCACCCACCCACTCGCTCTGCGCCCCCACCCCATATCATAACCAACAATATTTCAATGCCATGAAAACATTCAACTGTCCCTGGGCTCTTCCATGGCAATAATATTTTTCTTTTGCTTCTCCATCTCCCACCTGTGCTAGGATAAAGGAAGAGAAAAATGGAAGCTACGCCACACCCTGTTGTCCATATATATTCCTGAGTAAACTAATTGAGAGTGAATGAGGATCCAAGCAGAAAGAGACAGAAAACAAAACACAAAGGACAATAATACTTTGGTGCCCCCCCCCAAAAAAAACCCAGCAACTTTTTGAATCACTATTGCAGAACTCAAAATGCTGCCCACTTTTTTTTTCTTTCTGAGCCATGTGCTGTTGAAACATTGCTCTCTTGCACATACCCTTGTGTACATTCTGCTGAATTCCTGTCCAAACCATCCCTGCAGGTGATATCCTATAGGAGAGTTAGTCCACATTTTAGAAATCACCTGACAAACTGAGCTTGACTTTTTTTTTTCCAGGTGCATATTAAAGGGGGGGGGGGGAATGCTTAAGAATGCTTGTTAAGGATTGGAATGAAACATATGTCTCCATTTATTGCAGAGACCTGCTCATTGAGTCATCTTTACCAGCCACCCATACATGATTTAATCTCCAAAATGTACATGAATATAAATATAAGGTTTGGTGAAAAATGTAAACCAGGAACATCTAAACCATTCGATTTTATCAACTTTTACAAAGTTGACTTTTATTGAATTTGGCACACTTTATCTCGGCCCTTTGTTTACATTGACATGTGCTAATAAAGGAATTAAATGTCCTCGCCTCTTTATTATGCATTTTTGTCCTATATATTTTTCCCCCAGTTTGGTTCGTTGTATAAATTGCATATGCCCAAGTACTTCCACACAAATGCGTGTATGGATGCAAAGTAGCAATGTGTGTTCTTAGAGAAACAGTAATGCCAGTAAATAGAGCATCCACATATTCAAATCGAAATGCATATTTCCATAATGTTTTGCAAATACAAAAAAATGCAAACATACAACAGAGAAGTTGAAACAAAGGAATACATTTATAGACGCACAATGAAAATAGCAAATACATCAGAGAATACATACATGATTCAAAAAAAAAGTACACAAATATTCAGGCATCATTTACAGAGTCAGAAATCCTGCCAGTATTGAAAAATAGAACATAAAGAATTATGTCCTTTAGTCTTATAAAGATGCATTATAAAGAATGAAATACACGTAATCCCCAACAGTCTCTCCCTAAAACTGTACATAGCTCTTGATTAGTTTCCCAGAAATTAAATAAAGTGACTTTGTACTTGCTTCACTAAGAGTAAACAATATTGTAATACAAACTCACACATATTCTTATGCACACAGATATAAGCTTGGACAGACACATGTGCAAACTCCTCAACAGAAGCTTGTGTAATTGTGCATGCAAAAACATGGCTAGAAATATGCAAAATTAAACGTAGACCCATCTGTTTGTTGCAATGTTGCAGCACCCAAATAGCATGCTCTCTTGCGCTGACTTGGATGCTTTTACTCAGAGATTTCAAGGTGGCTTTATCATTATCTAAAAAGAAGTAGCGTTTTTAAAAAAAGGAAAAAAGCAATGGGACGGGGCTGGCCATTCCCAGGGAAGAGAGTGGCATCCTTGGGAAGTTGCTCTTGCTAGACAAATGAAGCATAAACTTCTCCCAAATTCACAACATGACAGAATTGTTATACAGGAGCATAGATCCCTTAACCTCTCTGGCTGGGACAACTCAGAACTACCAGCTGAACCAACAAACATTCCAATAAGAGAACAGTGTCAGCAAGCAGTTGTAACCTTCCCATGCTTATTTCCACTGCCTTAATTTTAACAGCAGGCTGGTAATGTTTGCCAATTCCCTTATTTTTTTTTTCTCTCTCCTAGTGCACTCTTTCTGCTCTCTTTAGTGCCTGCATTTCCCTGCTTTTCTATGAGTTTATGGTTGTTGTTCACTACATTGCCTTGTCTTTGCCTTGAGATAAAAGCTTCACTTATTCTGATCAAGGCTTCTAACCACCCCCCATTTCTGCACAACACAACATTTCCTATTAGATTAAACACAGTCGGGTTTTTTCCCCCCAGATCTTTCTCAAACTTACTTCCCCAGCTCTTCGAAGAGCTGATATTCTTCTGTAAACCGGTTGCAGGTGATGGTTGCCATCCTGGATGGTGACTGTCTCTCCTGGCGTGAAGTTTAATACTGGCACTGTTTCTGCCTTGAGCACACGTTCTCCTTTTGCTCTTTGCTCCTAGTGCTGTTTGCCTCTCGGAGGTAAATAAGTGAATATGTATGATTGACAAACCTGGAGATAATGATGAGGGCAATTTGTCTTCTCAGTCTCCCAAGCCTTCGTCAGCATCCAATTCTCCATAGCAACCACCTCCGGAACGCCCTGGTTCTGTTGCCCGGGTAACTACTTCCCAAACACTTGCTTTGCTTGCTGCTTCTGCAGCTCTCTTACGCCCTGAGTCTGTGAGTGAGGAAGCTGCATTTTGAGTTGGACAAGAGGTCGAAGGAAAAAGGCTTTTTGAAGGAAAAGGCTTTTGGAAACAACAAGCCAACAAAAGTCAATATTAAAATACAATTAGATCACACAAGTAAGAATTAAATTAGGTCAAAAAGATTACTATGGAAACTGCAGTTTCCACATTACAGGACGGTATTCAAAAAGACAGGATGTTGTTGCCCTGGTAACTGCATCCTTTACTCCAGAAAGACAGGTGTTGCTGGGTTGCCTGGCAACTGTTCTAAGATTTAAAGAAACATGATGCTTCCTTCAGTCACAGCTTCTTAGTAAAGATGGGATAAAGGCTGCTTCTGTAGTTTCTTTTTGGTATAACTTAGGGAAATTAGAACTACATTCTTTTAAAGGTCTTCTAGTGATTCTGATTTGAGAATAAATGAAACATAGCAGAAAATATCAGTGTTTCTCAAATTCCAATAGGGGGAACAGCTAAAACTAAAGTTGATCTAGACTCTGAAAAAAAATCTTCTGGAACGCAGCTACTGAGCTTTATTCCCAATGGAGTATCTGGCCCAGATTTCTTGCACTTTCTGTTTTGGCACTTGTTTTGTTTTTGAATCACTCCACGAGAAAGAGTTCATGATGCACTTGTTATTTGTATGCAGCTGCTATTACGGAAAAGAACCCAGATGGAAAGACATACTGTCTAGCAGACATCAGTCCCTAAGTGGGAGTGATTGTGGATTATGGCTTAGTTAAGGATCCTGAATAGTATGAAATACATCGATAGTCTGACATTAACCTTAAAATATTGCCTTGAAACAGTTTGGAATGGAATGGTAGAAACTATTCACAAATTAAGGTAGCCTTAATAATGCTGTATAGGGAAAAATGATTATACATGCTCAAGTATTCCACTTTTTCCTAAGAAAAAAGGGAATTCTGCCAAGTTGAATGGAAAATGCTTCTAGTACTTATTCTTTATTTTTATATTTTCCTAATGTTCTTGTTAGGGTAAATGTTCTTTCACCATAAGTATGAAAATACATAAAAAGAGACTATTTCATTTCTTGCAATTTCTCACAAGTATTTTATTTCTTCTATTATGAAGTACATTGAGTTGGTTTGGTTATGTAGAGAGACTGAATGAGGATTGAATCACAACTAAATATAGGAAGGAAGAGTCAGTGGGACTGAAGGAGAAGAAGAAGGACAGAATGATGTGGCGGGACAGACTTGATGAGGACTTCAAAGAAAAAAGATAAATTGTGAGAACAAAAAGTGTTGTCAGTCCATGGACATGGACATATGCTGGTCCCTTATACAATGATGCAAATAGAGAAAGTTTTGGAGAGGTATGAGCCAAAGTGCAGTATTGCAGGCTGACTCTACCCACTGCAAGCAGTTTGATCCTGACAGCTCAAGGTTGCCTCAGCATCTCATCCTTCCAAGGTCAGTAAAATGAGGATTCAGATTATTGAGGTCAATATGTTAACTCTGGGAACACTCAGAGAGTGTGGGTAAGCACTATGGAATTGTATATACAAGTCTAAGTGCTATTGCTATAATGAATATACACACAAATACATGCCCATGGTTTTATTTAATGAAGTTAAATGAAGAAAAGTGCTGAAAAAATAACAAGGGAAAAATATAAAAATGCAATTACAAGAAGATAAATTCTACATGTACGCCCTTCTCATGCATATATGGATGCAAAAATGTGAGATATTTCACATAACAGCTTCATTAAAGGAAAACATCTTTCACTGTAATTGTCCATGTATCATCTTTGTCTGTACAAATCTCATTCATAGAAGGAAAGTAACATTGACCCATTGGATAATTTGGGTTGTATATTTATTTTCCAGTCTAATATTTTAGCAATAATCAAGACAAATTTTGTTGTCCAGCTGTACCTATTCCCAACCCACTGGGAAGGCCACTTCCTTCTGTCTTTTCTTGCTATACATAAAAAGTGGCATTTTATACTTTTGATGGTGCACACCATGCTGATTCACCTACATTTCATTTCATTGTGGCAAATGGTTTTTGCTAATTTGCTACTAAGTGCTATGTGGCAGAAACAACCCCCTTCCCTATGGTTACTGGTCACTGCTTCCATGGTAAAAGACTGCAATAGAGAGGGGGAATTACCTTCTTTTTACAAATTCAGGTGTGACACAATGCCACAGGGAAATAGAAAC